CTTCAAAATGAGGCAGCACTTTGAGCCTGGGGGAGATGGGATTCCCTGGCTGCCCTGGAACAGATGGAAAAAATCCAGGCCTCTCTGCTTCTCCTGCTCATTTCTTCTCCTTTCTCCTTCTTCTTCCCCCCCAGGCTTTTTGCTGTCCTCTTTTATTGTGCTAATTCAAGGGAGGGGGTGAAAGAGGAAATTTACAGAAAGGTAAAGAGATACAATGTTAATCTTTTTTGACCAGTTTACGTGACATGAGTCATATACTCTATAGCTGTTATTTTGTAACTGTTATAGACAGGCATATCTCCTTGGAATACACATTATTGTCTGGGGTTATTCTTTTATTTAACTTCCTCCCTGTCAGTGCTTCCCTGCTGAGCTGAATACGTGCCTTCCAGCAAGATTTCTTTTTATGGAAAAATACAAGACAGAACCAAGGTAAAATAGTCACAATTCCTCCTTTCTTTATTTTTTGTGCTCATGACTCTAGGTAGAGTTCTTTCTCTTCCAGAGTAGTCTCACAAGGTGGCAACAAGCCCTTCGGTTTGTTGATGCCTTGCAGAACCAGCTCATACGAGGAGAAGTCCTCATCCCCCGAGTCGTGGCTGGACCTAGTTAAGAAATTTTCTTTGGGAGAAAAGAAGTTATTAATGTCTATTTCCTCCTCTGACTCTTGGTCAGAGTACCATTCCAACAGCGGTTTTTTGACCAGATCTTTTGATTCAATGCTGGATGTAAGAAAGCTAACTGTTTTTTGAGTATTGTTAATTTCATTGTCAAGTGTTTTCAAATGATCCCTCAATAATTTTAGTAAACGTCCTATTACACATGGACCAATAGTACATGCAAGAAGCAATAACACAAGAGGACCTATTAAGGCTGATAATAGTGTTGTTAACCAGGGAGAAAAATTAAACATGCTTTGATACCATGACTGTCCTTGTTGTAATGGATTCACCTGAATATTGGGGTTTTGTAGAAAGTTTGATTTCAAATTGTGATTGGGACCAATATCATAATTAGACATAGATATAGAAAGACGAATTGTAAAAATATTCCCTTCATCTCCTAGACCATCCCACTGACGTTCTCCCCAAGTAAACCCAACCATCCATTGTTTTTTTGTAAGTGTCTTTCCTTTTGCAGTAAATGTGATTCTGAGTGGATTTAGTCTCTGTCCACAACAAGGCATTGAAGAGCAGGGAAGATGTTCTTGAGCACGGGTAATATGAATATAGTCATTTTTGGTAGGTGCTTCCCACCAGATATGACCTGTGGATACACAACTCCATTTTTTACAATATCTGTCAACTACCCCACCGCAGGCAGCACGAGAAGCACCAGTACTGTGAGCAGGACAAAAATATAGTCTAAAGTTGTGAATAGGTGCTGGAGAACAGGAGCCTTGCTTGTCCCATATATCAGCTTGTAGTTCTTTATCTGCAAATTTTTCTACTCCTGTCCCCATTTCAGCAAAATCCATGAAAAGCTGAGGAAACCATGGCCATCTAGTATAATTAGTGGTGGTGTTTAAAATATTTCCTTGAAAATCAAGGATAGTCCAGGTATATTTTTGAGGTTGATGTTCATTTGTAGAAGGTTGTATGCTTCGAGGAATGCGATGATAGCCAAATCTTGGAACAGCACGAGATGCAGACCGCTTAGAGATGGAGTTGTCAGCGATGAAGACAGGATACCCAAGATGGCGAGCTCGAATGGGAGCTGTAGTCTTACGATGAGTGTCATCAGGGATGAGGTGGCGTCTTCGCACGACAGGTGTTTTGTAGTGAACAGGAACCCAGGAAGATGAATGATGCAATATGCATTTGGTGACATCACAGGGTGGAAAGCAGCAACGAAGATGCCATTGCAGTTTGTCTCCAGGAAAAGTTGTCTCAGAATTAGCTTGAGATGGCAATGTAGGAAAAGCAGAGGATAGTGGAGGAGATGCCACTGAAGGAGTGGAAAGTAATAGAACAGTGTGATTAAAGTATGTGTGATTGTGAAAAAATCCTAAGCAAGAATAAGATCCTATAGTAGATAGAGTAACATGTATAGTTAAAAATATTAAACAAGGAGAATAGTAATAGTGAACAGTAATGTCAGAAGTAGGCGAAAGAAAGCTACCATTGTGTTGGAAAACATAATTACATGTAGAAAGGAGATTATCTTTAAAAATAAAGGTAACAGTGTCAGCAAGAAAAGTAAATATAGCATCAGGAGATGCCCTGAATTGAGAAAAGACAGGAAATATTGATATCAGAAGAAAAATTAGAGTTAGAGTCAGGTTTGCCATGGTAAGGTCTGACACAGCGAGCAGGAACCCAAAGCACTCGATCAGGAAGTTGGACAGCAGCGTAACCTTTTCCCCAGGTGATGAGCTGTGCAGGACCTTTCCACGCAGGATCTGGAAGCTGTCTGAAATAAACAAGAGGACGGGAAGAGGGAACTACTGGCTTGGTGAAGTGGCGAGAAGCCGCTGTGGAAGAAGGAGAGCCAGTAAGATTAAGAAAGTTAAGAGAATAGAGAGTAATGTTCAAGATGTTTTGTAACGCCGGGAGGTTCGGGGGGCCTAAGCCTTTTTTCCCTATTTGCCGATCAAGGGCATTTTTCAGAGTTAGGTTTGCCCTTTCCACAATAGCCTGACCTTGGCTATTGAAAGGTATGCCAAATTTATGTGTGATGGCCCACTTATGGCAAAACTCAGCAAAGGGAGAACTGACATAAGCAGGACCATTATCTGTTTTGAGAATTTTTGGACATCCCAACGTTACGAATGACCGAATACAGTGATTAATAACATTTTTAGTAGCCTCTCCTCTTTGTAATGTTGCCATAATAAACCCTGAATATGTATCAACTGATACATGAAGGTATTTCCAGGGAGCAAAGGGAGGATAATGAGTTACATCCATTTGCCATGTATCACAGGCTTGAGTACCCCTAGGATTAACACCTTCAGGGATACCTTTGGCTTGCAAGCTACATGTTGGACATTGTTGAATTATTGCTGTGGCTTCTTGATACGTAATCCCAAATTGCTGTACCAAGGCCTTCTTATTTTGATGGAAATAGTCATGACTCTCCCCAGCTGAAAGCTGTTGTGGAAGAGGAGAGGAGGCCATAATTTTACAAGCCTCATCTGCCATATGATTGCCTTCTGCCAGGAATCCAGGCAGTTGCTGATGACTTCTGATATGAGCTACAAATAAAGGTTTCCCTCGCTTTTTCAGCAGTGTCTGAAGCTGTAAAAAAAAGTGTCATGAGAGAAGGAGGGGTAACAGGAGAAATATATGCATCGAAAATATGAGCAACCATCTGAGTAACATACATGCTATCAGATATTACATTTAAAGATTCCTGTGGAAAAAGAGACAAGGCCAAAGAAAAAGCAGCTAACTGTGCTTGTTGTGCTGAGTTCTGTGGGGCAGTTAAACGTTTGTTCCATTGAGCATTTTCACACCATGCACATGCTCCAATATTTTTTGAACCGTCAGTAAAGACAGTTAAGCCTTCCTTCAATGGCTGTTGGACAAAAGGTGATTGTAAAACAAAAGGAACTGTCTTCAACACCTGCAGTCTTGAATCAGATGGAAGGTGGCATGACACTTGGCCACACCAATCTTCCAATGCATCCTGCAGTGTTGTGGAAGTCTGAAAAAGAGGTTCCCATTGACTAATCTTAAAAGGAATATACAATGTAAAAATATCCATTCCCATCAGGGCTTTGGTTCTCTTGCGCCCTTTTTGTATAAGAAAAGCCATTTGTGCTGCTTTAGTAAAAATAGAGGTTTTTGGAGTATGTGGTAGGTGTAACCATTCCAAGAAATGAAGATTTTTTGCATTAGATACTTGAACAATTATTGCAGTCAGTAATTGATGAGTGGAAATAATAGCAAGAGAAGGTGGTGTGTCTGCAAGTGCACGGTTTACCCGTTGAGTTGCTAGGGCTGTGTTTACTTGCTTTAAAGCTTCTAGATGCTGAGCTGAGAGATAGACCTTATCTGCAGGATTTTTTAATCCTACTAGTGCTTGAAAAAGCGGTGATAGCATCTGTGTGGTTAGAGCAAGATATGGTCTAGCCCAGTTAATAATTCCCAAGTACTGCTGTAATTGAACCAATGTGGTTGGCTGTGGAAGAGTGAGCGAAGGAATATGTGGAGATGCTGAGGAAGCTAAAACCTTGTGACCTAAATATTGCATTGGGTAGTGAGACTGGATTTTTTCAGGTGCTATATGTAACCCTGCTTTTGCTAATGTGGTCAAGAGGATCGGAAAAGTTTTTTGTACCGTCCCCTTTGGCCCATCAGCTGCAATTAAGATATCATCCATGTAATGATATACAAGAAAATTAGGAAATTGAGATCTATAAGGATGCAGAGCCTCATTGACAAAATATTGACACATAGTTGGTGAATTAAGCATACCTTGTGGAAGAACTTTCCATTGATACCTAGATGTGGGTTTAGAGTTATTGAGTTCTGGCACTGTAAATGCAAAGATGATTCTATCCTTTTGTGCCAGAGGTATAGAAAAGAAACAGTCCTTTAAATCTATTATTATGAGATCAAATCCAGCTGGGATCAAATTAGGATTAGGCAGACCATTGAGTGTAACAGAAAGAGTTGGTTTTAAAGCTTGAACAGGTTGCTGCAATGTAAACCAAGAAAGAGGTTCAAAAAGAGGCAAATTTATAAGTGTAGCAACTACTGTCCCCTTTTTTAAAGAAAAGCAACGATCTCCTATTGCAGCCAATGCAAGATTATTAAGAGCAGAAGAATCATATAAGTAAGGAGCTGCAACCACACCCTCTATTGTAAGAGAAGAATTGGGAATAAGCAAGACAGGTGTGGAAGGAGGAAGAGGTTTGAAAAGCGTTGCAGTTAAAGGAAGAGTAAAAACAGCACCAGGATCATCATACACAAGATCCTCTAACAATACCACAGGAAACGTTGTGGCAGTTAGTTCAGCCTTTGTGGCGGGGCTAGCTGAAGACCCCTCAATTAGTTTCCCGAAGGCTGTGAAGGAGAAGGATTAGAATAACAATTTGAAGCCCAATGATAGCCTTTCCTGCAGCGAGGACAGATAGTTTTTGGTTTAATTGAAGAGGGTGGACCTCTGGTTTGGCCACGAAAAGCAGCTCCTCCCCCTGGCTTACGACATTGATTTTTAAAATGTCCTGGCTTGCCACAGTTAAAACAATTGCCATTGCGTTTTAAGGCAAAAGCATCAGGAGGAGAAGTGGTAGCAGAATTAGGATTTGGTAATGAAGCTGTGATTGCATTAGCAAGCATATTCATTTTATGAGTAGTTGTTCCTACAATTCTACAGAGTTGTAAAAACTCAGCCAAAGTCACTCCTGGCTTATTAGCAACTGGCTGTAGAATTTTTTGACAATCATGATTAGCATTTGAATAAGCCAATTTTATAAGTAATTCTTGTTTTGCAACAGGATTATCTATCTGTCTATCTAAGGCTGTCTGAAGCCGGCTTATGAATGAGGCATAAGGTTCTTCAGGTTCTTGCATAATTTTTAAAAATGCTTGAATGGACTGAGAATCTGAATCATCCACTCGCTTTAAAGCATTCATAGCACACATATGAATAATGGCAAAACTACGACGAGGAGAATTTTGTTGTTGTGCTAGAGTAGAAAATTGACCTTTCCCCAATAACTGATTTTCAGTTACTCCAGCAGGCAAACCCCTACGGAATTCAGCCTCAATAGCTTTTTCATATTCAGATTGCCACACAACATATTGTGCTGGAGTCATAAGCATAGAAAAAAGCATTTTCCAATCATACAATAACATAACTGTATTAGCTGTAACCAAAGAATCAAGTATTCCCCTAGTAAAAGGAGAATGCAATCCATAAGTTGTAACTGCATCTTTTATATTTTTCAAAACTTTAAACTCAATATTACTATGAACATTGCCTCCTCCCCCAGGGATGATAGTCATAGGATAAGCAGAAGGTTCTTCTGTTTCTAAAGATAGAGGTGATGACAAAAGATTGGTTATGATTCCTCCCATAGGATTCATAACAGGAGAATCAGAAAGAGAAGGAAGAGCAGGAGGAGGGGGGGAAGAAATATCTGAATAAGGAGGTGGTAGGGAAGACTTTGATTCCAAATGAGCTGCAAGAGGCTTAGAAGTTTTTGAATTGGAAGAGTGGGAGTCAGAAGAAACAGGAGAAAAGGAATTTTCAGGAAGACTAGAAGGAGGATATATAGTCGTTATAGCAGCCATTATTGCTCTCCAGGAAATAAGTATATCCATGGGAGCTCTGGGAACTTTATGTAAATATTTTCCTAATTTTTCCCAGTCAGAATGGTTAAGAGTTCCAGCAGATGGATAGGCTGGACAGTGAGCCTCAATATAAATTATAAATTTATTTAAAGATTTCTTAGAAATAGGGTACACAGTGGTACCATTGGTTTTTTGAAAGGAATTAGCTTTCTTCACTAGATTATAAAGTTCGTCCCTATGCCCTGACGAAACTTGAGAAATCGAGGAGCCCATTCTTACCTTTTTTGTCGACGTAGCCTATTCCAGGCGAATAAGAATGGGGTGAAGAAGATGCACTTCTAGACAAAAGTCACACCTTGGAACCTGAAAGGCGAAGGGATCCCAGACGATTAGAGATCCCAGACGAGCCCCCAGCTGTCGCGTTGAGCGACCGGTCTGTTGTTGTCTTCAATTCTAGTTCTTTTATACTGTTATGGGTCAGATTATTACTTATCACCATTTCAACATGGAACTAGGTAAAACAAATGAATACTTTTTAAGTAAACAGTTTTATCTAGTACATTATTATTTAATTCCACACTGTAAAAAAAAAGCTGGATTTTACAGAAAAGGAGAACACTGGGAATCAAGCTATTCTTTTGAGGAAATTTGAGGAAAAATATAAAATATTTTTCTGGAAAAAGCTGAAAGTTACAATCAAGTCATCATCAATTAATGGGTCAAAATGAATATATTTGGAGGCTAAGCTGTAATTTAGAGATGCACTAAGTTTTTATATCCAAGAGAACACTAAGCATTTGGTGGGGAGGAGGGCTGAGGGACGTAAATTAATAAGCCATATCACAAGTTATAAACAATGCTGAGCTTTTAGGAACAATTTTGAGCATGCTTTTAAAAATTGTGGTATGCTAATTTTAGGGCTTAAAATATAGTTTTCATGTGTTTTGTGTCTACTGTTGTAGTAAGATGGGTGAAAGAGATTGCAGAAAATTGGACTTACTATTACTCAGTCCTTGGTTTTTCATATTAGGTATAAATTGAATTTACAATTTGATTCAAATGTGCATCACTCATGCTTACTGAATATAAATAAATGCAACCCAAATTCAACAATATTCTGAAATGTGTTCTTTTCAAGGTTCAGGAGTATACATTATAATATAATATAAATAAATTGATGCCAGATGCTTGCATTGGGAAAAAGTCCACAAAATAAATGAATGAAAAAATATTATATATGAAAAAGTGTTTATAAATATGCATATATTATTATTATACGTGAAAAATATATGTGTGAAAACTGTGTAATTAAATATGCACACTAAGTAAAATGCATGTGACATGAATATGATTTTTATTTGTTTTATTCTGAACACAATAATTGCAGCTTATTGAGGAAATGAGCAAAATGAATAGTGATAGTGAACTCATGAAATGTGATTGATTTGTCTATCTTGGTGTTTTCTGCTATACAGTATCTTGTTTGAGGGGCCTTGGTGCTCTCTGAGCTTGCTTGTTTTCTTGTGGACATTTCATTACCTAACTAGGTAATATCATCAGTGCTAGTAAGGAGTACTGTTTGCTGTCAGTTTATATTCTGGTGTCTTGCATGTCTGTGTAGGTGGGGGTAGTCTTAGAGATTCTTTGGTTGGGCTGTTTACTGATGGCTCTTTGGCAGTTTCTTGATTGGGGTACTGCTTATTTGATTGTTGGTCTGAAGTTAACCTTCATTTGGGAAAATATGACAATCCTAGACCAGTCCAAGTCCAAAAATGCCAGGGAATTTTTAGAAGCCTTGACAGATCAGCCATCAATAGACACATAGACATTAACAACATCTATAGACTATGCAAAAAAAAAAAAAATCAGCCCCAAAGAGAAAAAGACTCGAGTACCTCTCCACCAGGAATCAGCACTCAAATCTGCATAGATTAACTTCAAGGTTAACTTTAGACCAACAATCAAGTAAGCAATAACCCAATCAAGAAATTGCTAAAGAGTCAACAGTAAACAGCCCAATGGAAGAATCCTCAAGACTGCCCCCTCCTACACAAACTGGCAAGATACCAGAATATAAACTGATAGCAAACAGCACTCCTTACTGGCACTGATCATGTTACCAAGTTAGGATAATGAAAGGTCTGCAAGAAAACAAGGAAGCTCAGAGAGCACCAAGGACTCCTCATTTCAAACTTGAGCTACACATGTTTTCCTTTATTGGTAGTATCTTGTTTATTTGAACCAATTGTAAACAAAGGCCTGTTGATGCATACTGTGACCATGTTCTTCACTGTTCAGTTCAACTCCATACAGTAACAAACACTAGAAATTCATCAAAGAACTATGAGAAAGCAGTTATTGTAAAAGCTTATCAGCATAGAGAGGTATCATAACTCTTTGACTGTTTTGTTAAATAAACGTTCATCAGAATGATAATTATGTATATGCTTTCCTGGGAGTAAGCCACACTGAACATATTTAGGTGAATTTCCATGTAAGCATTCATTGCATAGCGTAATGATTATGAATCTCTAGAGCTTGTTACTGTATGGAGTTGAACTCAACAATTAAGAATATGTTCACAGCATACATAAACAAGCCTTTGTTTACAATTGGTTCAAATAAGCAAAATCATTTATACAGTCATTAGCCCCAAAATAGAGCACAGATAAAGGATCTGCATTTATCACAGGTTCCTAAGCTACTGTTCTATTTTAGACAGGACACATAATAGCAAAGTTACAACTAGACTATGGCACCAGTGGTATCAATTTGGTTTAAATAAAAAGTGCAGAGACTCAGAGCACCCAGTCTCTCACCAATGTAGAGTCACACCATAAGAAATAAGAGGAATGATTAGGAAGTGGAGAATCAATCCCTTGTAGATCTAGGGAAAAGAGGTGAGGTAGCAATAGATAAAGAAAACTTATGTTTCAGTAAAGAATTCAGACACCGGAAAATTCCACAGCTAATCCAAGCTGTCAAACCTAGAATCTTCAAATGGAGTAAAAATAAAAATCAAAAATAACAAAAAAATGCAGGTCCATTTCAGAGAAAAAAATAAGCATCTAGGTATCACCAGGACAGCTATAGTATGGGTCAATTATAGGCTGGGACATACTTGCTTCTTGAGTGGCCAGGCTGATTGCTTGTACTGTGTCCTTTGAAGCTGCCAGTGTATATTGGGAGTAGACACCTTTTCAGGGTTTGGCCCTCATTATCTTAGTATTCTTATCTGCTTTTGTCTATCACTACTCCAAGTAGTTTGACAGGCTACTGGCTTCTGAGGCTGGATGTTTGTCAGAACACGCCAGACAGCTTCTCACTCAAATGATACAGAAAAGCTATAACAGCTATTGTGTCATGTATAATTGGGAAAATATATGATATTCATATGTAAAGGATACGGATAGAACACTAAAATGACAAGTCACAAGTGTCTATCTTATATCCACAAAGAGCTACAGCTTGCAAATTGTTAAGTATTTGAACATATAAAAGAGAGAGAGAGAAGAAGGAATAGGAAATATAGAATGAGAATGCCTTTAAGTAGTGTCAACATTTTCTAAACTTACATTATCTCTTAGTTTTGCTCCCCACATTTCAACTTCATTTCCAACAATGGGTATTTAGAATACCCATTTAATAAAGTATATTATATATTATATTACACATCTGTAGAACAGAATCACAATGCAGAATAATATATGCATGTTACAAATGCTACATTAGGTAGTAAAAAAATTAAATACTGTTATTTATTTATTTGTTTGTTTGTTTGTTTGTTTGTTTGTTTATTAAATGTATATGCTGCCCATCTCATTATCTAAAATAAGTTTGGGCTTGGGGTTTGGGGTATTTGAATATGTATCTCAAAGATAATTATTACATTATTTAGTCAAGGGCTGACCAACATTATTTCTAAAGAAAAGCCTCCCACCCTAAATCCTATATAAATTCACAGCAAAAATTTTTAAAAAATATTCAGGACCACTTCCCATATATTTTTCTGCACTTCCTGGGCATCATGGCATTTGCTATTATTCTTCCCCCAGTAGCACAACCCAAACAACCTGATACTCCTGCCTGCTTACTACATAAAACCATTTTAGTAGCAATTTTTTTCTCTCCATGCTGAGAAATCAATATGGTACAGAACTATTTACAGGAAGCCATTTTATTTTGCTGATCAAGAAATATATGCTTCTGGGCAGAATGCTTAACAGAACTGAATTATAAAACCCTGGGCCTTGTCTTCTCAGAAAGATGTGAGAAAGAACATAACTAGAGACAAATTGTTTGTAGGACTAATGAAAAAAGCTTGACCTTGTTGATGAAGCAGGATAATCTCTAATGAGGGCAATTTATGAGTGAACTTATGATCTTATAAAGGAAGCATTGTTATATCTGGGGCATCTCAACATAAATGAGTCAGGCAAATTTGCAGCATCAACCATAGGTTTTGAAAATATATAGCCCAAGCTAGTTTCTTTCATGATTTCTGGATTTAATAAGAGCCATGTTGGCTGAGAAAATGGAAAAAGGTTGCTGAATAAATAAACCCAATAAGACGTTAAGTTTGAATTGCTATGGCTGAATTATTGTCTCCACAAACAGTCCCGCAACTATTAAGATAATTTAAGTTTGACAATTCAAATGGCAAATATTTTGATATTTCCTCTTGTTTTTCCCATAACCACATCCCTGTGAGCTGTGCTGGGCAGAAAACAAGAGACTGATTCAGAGTCATCCATTCAGCTTTCATGACTGAGGGACAACAGTAACACACAGCCTTCTGATTTCTAGCCCACCATCTTAACAACAACAGCAACTGCTCTTTTTCATTTGTAAATGTCTTCATGCTACACAATGTCGAAGCTAAATTTTTGGATTTCTAGATCCTTTTTTGATTTAAACCCATGTCTAATTATCTACCAGCCTAGGTTAGCAGACACTCTAGTTCTCTGCCTCACATTGCTCTATTGTTTGTTCTATTTCTAAGGATCTCAAATACCTTGGGAGTGTTTTGAAGATGTGGAAGCAAAGTTATAGAAGTAAAGCCATTATTGAGCTACTTCATATTTATTTATGTATTTATTTTTTATTTATTTAAAAGGAAAAGATACAACCTCTTGGAACATGAGTTATGGTCCAAGTGATCAATATAAAAGATAAAATAATTTCTGTCTTTTGTATTTCTTTTTTTTAAAATACACTTTATTGATTTTACAATTAAAATAGACCAACAACACATACATAAATGTAAGAGAAAAAAAGAAAAAAAGAATAGAAAGAAAAAAATAGAAAACAATTAAAAACATTTTCATCTTCAACAGTTTGTGAGACCTCCTTTTTATCCTTACTTTATGCCAGATACACAATTAATCCTTACATTTATCTGTATATCACTACTACAATTCTATCATATCTTCTTTTGCCTTTTAGTGTGAAATCTATCTTTGGTCTATCCATTTGTGCCAGCAGTTCCAGCTGTCATAATATATTGAAGTGTCTTTATCTTTTAATGCCAAGGTTAATTTGTCCATTACAGCATAACTTGAAATTTTTTGAATAATATGTGGTGGTCTTGTACAGAAGCTCAAAAATATTGGCAGAAAATTAGAAATTGGTTGGAGGAAATGACAAGAGAACAGATTGAATTTAAACCAGAGTCCTTTCTATTAGGGATCTTTGATAAACAACTACCAAAAAAAGTGAAATATATATTAATACATATTTTGACAGCGGCCAGATTGGCTTTTGCACAATGTTGGAAATGGCCTCATGTCTTTTGTATTTCTTAGTTACTTCCAAAACTGTTCAAGAGTGTTCATGATACAATGCAATGACCACTTCAGACTATCTAGTTCTATTATAAAGAGTTGTATTCTATAATGGCTGTTTACAATAATAAATAGTATCTAGCTGATCTATTGACGGTTGCTTTAGCTTTGTAAAATTGCCAAATATCAAATGTATAAGGTCAAGAAAAGAAGCTTATCTTAAGATGTACATATGAGGAATTAAATGTTGAATAAAGAGATTTTTTAATTATCATTTTGTACTCTCACTGTGTGGATGGGATGAAAAGATATAGATAGATTGATAGATAGATAGATAGATAAATAGATAGATAGATAGATAGATAGATAGATAGATAGATAGATAGATAGATAGATAGATCCACATCATAATTTTAAAAGTTTGGTACCATTCATTTACACAACCAATCACTATAGTGATTACTGGTTTTCCTGTACTAAGTCATATAGCATGGCACTATTTAGAAGTCTTGTGAGACAACAGTTTTACCATCTGAACATGGAATTACAAAATACCTTCCTTTTTCCATTTTGTTAACAACTGAATAAACTCTCCTTAAACTTCAGCCTTCTCTGAAATATTAATCAGTAATGAGAAACCTCAAGTTTAAATCTAACTCTTTGAATAGAACCAATAGATTTTTGATTTGCCAATCTAAGGATCAAAATCCAGATGTAAATTAGCACTTTCTATATTTATTAAATAGTTAGTGTGGATAAACTTATTACCCTATAACTCTACTCAGTTATTAACCTGGCCTGATAACAGAATATTCTGAGCAAAACCATATAGTTTGAGTTACTTTAATGCTTCAATTATTTAATTAACAAGCAAGACTGCTTACCAAGTTTCCCTGTGATTGAAATATTGTTTAGATATTTCTTGTGTTTTAAGTGTAAGTATGCATAAAGTATAATTCTTTAAAAGATAAAAGTGCCCTTCTTGTGACATTTGAGGACAGAATTAGTACACTGATGCTAAGTCAGTAGTGTGGCATGAGTAAAGATTATTTCTATTCCAGTCAACTTTGTTTTCGAGCCTCTCATTTAATATTGCATGCTGTAGTTGTACAATAAGCTGTGGCACTCAATGTAAGGTCTGCAGACCATTAATATTCAGGGCCATAATATGGAAGTCAGTGTCTCATCTTGACTTCTTACCTAACTGAGACCCCAGAATTCCTTGTTTATTCCCAAAATATATGGCTATTACAAGCTAGGTGAAATAAATCATTTGTTAAAAGTTGTACAATCCTATAACTGATTCTCATTTTTCAATTTCATCAGAAAAATTCAGAATTGCTCCCACAGAATCCAGTGATCAGTATTTGCTTTATGTTCTCAATTATCTCATTTATTGTGTTTTTAAAAAGAAATATTACTTGGATTTGTGTGTAAATATTTTAACAATCTGTTCCTGAAAGAAGAAAATGGGAAGTTTAAAGTTTTGCCAGTGGGCTTGGGGAACGCAGAATGGAATAGTTTATTTAACTGTGTGTTGTTGTAGGGTGGGGGGGTGGGGCATGGCGTGGGGAATAACAACAACAATAATAATAATAATAATAATAATAATAATAATAATAATAATAATAATAAT